CATTTAGTTTGTGCTGAGAGGCACTATCGCAGTTACTAAAAATTTCGATACCATAGCAGAGCGTGGGTATCAGATAGGTTTTAGCGATTAATAGTCTGATATCTATGGGCAAAAATTGCTGAGTCAACGAAAGTTGTCTGAGTAAGCCATAAGTTTTTCCTGCAGCCTTGGATATGTGATCACTCCAGGACAAAGAACGGTTTTCCGTACTAAGTAACTTTTTATATATTATAATGCATTTCGATTTACCAGGATTTAGTGACAAGCCATTGCACTTAGCCCATTTACTAACATTTGACAGTTCATCATTGCATAAGTTCACACACTCATTTATACTACGTAACGGACAACTAACATACATTTGGACATCATCAGCGTACATATGAACACTGCAATTGGACAACGAGGCTGGGAGATCATTAACATATAACGAGAAGAGGAGTGGACCAAGGATTGAACCTTGGGGTACTCCACGTTTTACAGGTAGAAATGTTGATATAACACTATCGGTTGTCACAGCTTGGCTTCGTCCATGTAAATAGGACGATATTAATTTTACAGCACTGCTTGTAAAATTAAAGAATTTGTGTAACTTAGTACATAAGATATTATGATCTACCGTGTCAAATGCTTTGCTAAAGTCTAGAAGCATCAAAAATGTAACATTACTATCGTCATCGTATCGGTGGCTTCAACTATCGAAAGTTTTACTCTAGCAAATTGAGATGAGAATTGTCAGTGCTTTTTGATCGTGGCTCATCGCTGCACGGCATTGACACGAGTGCCGTGTTTCATATTCCGAGTTTGTGCGTCACCGTATTGACTCAATATGGCACGAAAAGGCTCAAATGTGCATTTAAAATTAGGATATACCCTTATAATTATTCTCCCTTTTTTGCAAATCGTCTATCTTAAAACGTTGCGTTATCTCTATATATAAAACAGTTTGTCCTGATCAACCCACAGCCCAAACGGTAAAAGATGAAATTTGGACTCAAGTAGCCTTTCATAGTATCCATCATAGTGTAGGAGCACACTAAGAAAGGCTTTTGGAAAATTCTAGCTCCGAAGGGGGGAAAACGAGCTTTAAAAAATATTAGTTATAGTGGTCATGTTCGTTTAACGAAATAGTTTGGCAAGAACAAAACTGTAACTGACTACTGAACAATTTTTTGTCAAGAACAGAAAATGTTCATTTAAATACCTTAAATGCCTTCCTACTGGTAACTTATAAGGTGAAAACATATGGGTAGGTTATGCACACACAAAATAAATACAATTGGAAACATTATATTGAGCCGGGTTAAGACGGGCAATACCTGCTAGTGTATGTATATGTACATACATCTGCCCGCAATGCGAAGCAGAATATGCGTAGCTCCGTTATTCAGTTTCTGCTTTACTATCGCTTACGCAGTCGTTGCCTAGCGACGGTAACTGTAAACTTTTGGCGTTTTGCCTTTGCAATTAACATTAAATGGTCAAAACGAAAGAAGAAGAGCGAACCAATGGCTTGCAGTTGTTGTTCTTTTTAGAGCATTATTTTTTTTACAATCAAACAACTGTGTTTGATTGCCCAATGTATACATTAATACGAATGTACATACATACATGCTATATTCATACACAGGCATACATACATACATATATGTATACATATATGTATGTTTCTCTTTACTTTTTCAACCGTACGTAGAGAACCGCACATATAGACACGAACTGTTGCTTGTTGTGTGTGTGAGTTGTGTGTATGTGATGTCCCCAACTATTTGATATTGTTGCTGCATAAAGTTATTAATGAAAACCCTAATGCCAAATGCACTAAACAAAGAAAAAATTACTTTTAAAAATGTTACATAATTTTCAATTAATTAACATTCTTGCTCTGTCAGTGCAAGACGAATGTACATACATACATATGTAGATACATATGTACATACATAGATCTGCACATATGTATGGACATTTACACATTAGTGTCTCACATTTTGCTTTGGCTATTTCAATCGTTTGCACGCAACTACACGAACAGCTGCTTGCATGTGTGTGTATCTATACTTAGTTGTCCCCAACTGTTTGATATTTTGTATTGTTTGTTCTGCCTGCTTTTGTAAAATACATATTTTGAAAATCCTTGAACTAAGTTTTAAGTCGATCGGTTGAAAAATGCGGATTTTTCAAACAAACTTTGGAGCTACTTTTCCCCCCTTTGGAGCTCGAATTTTCCAAAATCGCTTAATGCACATTTACACTATGATAGGATACTTGACCAGAAATTTCAGCTTTCTAGCTCTTACCGTTTGAGCTGTGGGCTGTTGACGCGGTTTCCTTTTGTGCCCCAAGAAAACCCCAATAATTCAAGCTCCAACCAAAAATTTAAAAAAACCGAGTATGCAGTTTTTTTTATTGATTTCAGAAACCAAGTTTTATGTCGATCGGCTAAAAAATGTGGATTTTGGAGCTGAAAACTAGCTCCCCCCCAAAATCCCTTCTTAGTGAGCATCTACATTATGACAGGATACTTGAGCCTAAAGTTCAGTTTCCTTACTTTTACCGTTTGGGCTGTGGGGTGTTGATTGTGTTTCAATTTTTCCACGGAAAACCCCCCTTTTTCATGCTCCAGGAAAACCCTAGTTTGAAGTTATTTGGATGAAAATTGTAGATTTTTCACACAAACGTTGGAGCCCGTTTTCTCCCCTTTGGCGTTAGAATTTTCCAAAACCTACACCACTGAAAACAACATGTGTCAAATTTTCAGCCTCCTAGCTCTTACCGTTTGGGCTGTGCGTTGATTGCAAATAGCTTTTCGTTTACCGAATTTTCCACCGGAAAATCATTATTATTCAGGCCGCAGGAAAAATATTGAAAATCCAAGTATACAGTTTTTTTTGTATTCTTTGTGAGAGTATACAAACTAAGTTTAACGTTTTTTAAAGTGAATATGAAAATAAAGCTCCTAATACTATTAAAATATATGAAGTCATCTAAAAGTTTATTTTGTTTACTTTTTATTGTACCTTTTAAGTTTTTAAATCGTATATTAAATACTTTGAAACTATCTGTTGAAGGAACTGTTGAAGGAACTGTTGAAGGAACTGTTGAAGGAACAGTTGAAGGACCGATAGGTAATTTTTCCAAGTCTTAACTGAATAGCTTACTTAGCTTAATAGAGTGAATGATCGAGCGAGTAGATTACGATTCATTTAGTTTGTTGGAATATTTGTATATTGGGGTATTTCAGATTTACTGCACATGAAATGTACAGAAGTATATTAGGTTTGCGGGTACTGAAAAATGTAAGAGGCAGAAGAAGGCGTGGCAGACCCCACAAAGTATATATATTCTTGATCAGCATGACGAGACGAGTCGATCTAGCCCTGTCTGTTTGTCCGTCTGTCCGTATGAACACCTGGATCTCAGAGACTATAAGAGATAGATAGATAGAGACACCAAATTTTGCACAAAGATGCCTTATGTGTGTATTCTATACGAGTTTGTTTTATTTTTTTGATTTTCCTCCCCCACTTCCCCCTATGGGGGTTTTCCCGATTTTCCATTCGTATAATCGCCTATATCTCGGAGACTATAAGACCTAGGTACACAAAATTTTAGTCCCAGATGCCTTATGTGAATACGCAGAAAATGTATATTTTGGAATTTACCTCCATCCCCCCCGCAAATTGCGATTTTCTCTAACTCCCGTAATTCTTGGAATTTCGAACTAAAAATTTGCAAAATCCCCCAGTTAGTTATTATGTGTCTGTATGCCAAGTTTCACTATGATAAACCGATTTAACAAGAAGTTATAGCCATAAATATATTTGCTGCTGCAGCGCTGCTCAAGCGCTGTCCGCGACTGTTGTTGATGCTGGTGCTTTCGTTGACTGCACACATGTTTACACAGACACGAATTGATGCGCATAGGCATACATACACTCACACAGCCGCAATTGCTATGTAAATGTGCAATTATACACCATTTACGTGACTTCAAATACCGAAAATCGATCAAATTTTTTTTTTTAATTTTCTTAATTTTTTTTTGTTTTCTATAATTATTGTAAACATATGTACAGAGTATTTCAAAGTCGGGACACCCGACTTTACCATTTTTACTTGTTTTTTTTTTTCAAATCATTGACAAAACCGACATTAAGTCTTCCAAACCAAAACAATGCACATTCGTAATTTTTGTGGAAATTCGATGGCTTAGCCTTATTTTGGAGAAACTCATAAGCAAATACCCGGTGCAGAACAGGCTTTTAAAGCTCTGTCACTTACCACCGAAGAGCAGTACTTTGACTTAATACTGACCCAACCAAACTCGAACCAAAACGAACTTCAAAGTTCCCAAATTTCCGAGCATTGAATGAGAATTTGTTATTTCCTCGTTTTATTTCTGAAATTCAAGTTTTGCTTCAACAACACCAGCTGGGGGTTGACTTCACTAATGCTTAGTACAACTGTGCTAAGTAGAAGTAATAAAGATCTAAAAATAAAATATGTAATTACTGCTGTTTTATTTGATGCTCAAGCAGATCTCCAGGATTATATGAAAGCTACCATAGAAATAAATATTCCGTATAGAACTCTATCCGCCTGTGATTTCGTTCGCAACTTTCGGTCGATCTGTGGGATAAAGGTAGTGTCCTGACTTCATATACTCATTGGTACTGCAGTTGAAGAAATGGAGAGTGGGTTATTTGCAAATTCCGCATGGACGAGCTAGAGATCTCATAAGTGCAGACTCCAACTTTACGCATTCATTTGATGTATTCGAATTGACAACGAGGCTGGATATGATATTCGTTTATGGATAAGGGTTAATATTTGGGTGCCATAGCATACATGTACATATACATATGTGTAGCCGACAGCAGAAGCTCCGATGGGTGAAACACTGAAAATACCGCAATAACCACAATCTAAAAGTTTTTTCTCCTTGTATTATTTGTAGTCTTGATAGGACAATTTGTAATATATGTTAATTGTTTTTCCAGGCATCCAGATAAAAGCAATCATCCAGATGCTGAAACAAAGTTTATTGAAATAAAGCAGGCCTACGAACTCTTATCGGACAGCGACCGCCGGCGAATGTATGACCAACATAGGATAATTGATGAAGACTCCCATTTTTTTAAACAAAAACATGATTATAGTAGATATGAACGGTTTGGGTTTGATCCGGTAGAAGAATTATTTGGAAAACATTTTTTTTTTGATCACGACATAAGCATATATCATAAATTATCAGTGACGACAAAATACTTCGATCACACTATCCTACCAAAGAGTGCAAAAACGCTGTATGTTTTAATGTTCTATAATGATTGGTGCTTCCGGTGCACTCGTCAGGTTGGATCATTCAAAAAACTAATTGACACTCTTGAGCCTTTAGGTAAGATCTTAATATTTATTATAATAAACATGTAAAATAGTCGTCTTTTTTTTAGGAATTCATTTTGCTACAATTAATGCTGCTCATGAACCTGCTGTCTTAAGAAAAACAGGGGTCGCTGATGTTCCTAAGTTGCTGCTTATTATGGATGGTCATAGCTATGTTTATCGTGAAAATAATTTTTCTACACAAAAAGTTGTTGGTAAGTTCATCATCGTAATGTAGATGTCAATTCAAAGATAACAGCGTAATCTATATATATATAACAAAGTCGTGCTTGTACTAACACTTATAAAGTCGAGAACGGCTGGACCAATTTGCAAGTGTTTTGAGAGCAAAGAGATGCAGCCCATCAGACGGCTAGGTTAAAAAGAAGAAATCGCGCATTTAAATGTATACAACGAAATGTGAACTCATAACCAACCTGTTACCCGGCGGGCCACTAGTACCCCAAGGGTAAAATGCTATATTAGTTGTTTGCGAATGTAACACACAGAAGGGGGCGTGGCAGGCCCCACAAAGTATATATATTATTGATCAGGATGACAAGTCGAGTCGATATAGCCATGTCTGTCTGTCCGCGTTTCCATCAGTCTGTCTTTATGAGCACCTGGATTTCAGAGACTATAAGAGCAGGAGACACCAAATTTTGCACAAAGATGCCTTATGTGTGAACGCTACACGATTTTGTTTTATTTTTTGGATTTGCCCCACTTCCCCCTGTGGCGGATTTCCCGATTTCCCGTTCGTATAATCACCTATACCCTGGAGACTATAAGGCCTAGGGACATCAAATTTTAGTCCAAGATATTTTATGTGAATATGATGAAAATGTGAATTTTGGAATTTCCCCCCCCTCCTCCCTCTCCCACGCAATCACTGATTTTCCATAACTGCATCTCAGCAAGTACAAGAGCAAGAAAAACCAAACTTGATATCCAGATTCTCCTAAGTCCGAGAAATTACCAACTTGTGTTTTTTCTCTGATTTTGAACATTGAATATCTTTGAAAATAAACAACCGATTTTCAAGTATGAGATATTTTTATTTAATTTGGTTCTGTACAATTTCTTGAACTGAGGTTTTCAACACTGGTCTACTCAAGTCAATCGGTTCACTAATGACAAAGTTATTCAATATTTACATACCGACATAAAAGATGGCGCACCCTGTATATTTAATTAATTAATTAAATTCTTTTTAAATAATTTAATTTAAATCTGTTTTTTTTTTAATTTTCCTTTTTTGGAGAGTACAGGCTATTTTACTGTCCGGCTTGCTCGACTGTAGCTTTCCCTCTTGTTTTTCTTAATTGTATTCTAAAAAAAAAATCTTTCTTTAAATGTGTTCACGGCTACGCAAATGGATGACTAGTGTGTCCAATTTTGTGACATGAATGGAACGTGCACATTTGCAACCATCCGATTTGGGATTTCTTGTGCGTTATTGTCTGCCCACTTAGGCCTTAGATAGTTATTTTTGTAGAAGGTCCGCCCTAAACCATCCGATATGTTTGATAAATTCGAATATATAATCTCGATCTAAATTTTTGTTAAATCAGCGAAGCTGCTTAGGAAGGGTTTCCCTAGCGAGCTGCTTAGTGATGTGCTGTGACAGAGAAGGTACTTAACGTCGCCTTCCCCTCTTTATCTTTGTTGCTTCTACAGAAATCGATAAAGAGTATGCAAAGAGTCTGCCAACGAGACAATACCACTCTGTGCGAGAAACCCAATCTGGTACTGATGGTTTTCGCACATGATTTTTTTTAATGAATTTCTCATTGACAATACCATTTGTTACTTAATTTAACTCTCACATAATAATACCCCCAGTGGCTGTTTCTTGCGCTTCAAGATTTAATGGGTGCCGATGATGTATGGTCTGAGAACGGTTGCCCCTACACGAGCAGACATTATTTAAAATAAACTCAGACTTCTTAATCTCTAGTACATTACCTCTATTAGAAATTAGTAGATTAGTACTTAAAATGTAGTGGTAGAAGAGATCTGCTTATTTATTAATATCATTTCCGCTTCATTGGGTGTAGTAAGCATTATAATTTTTTTTACTAGGATTGTGCCAGCTTTGCTGTTTGAGCTGGCTTCTACTTGTTTCTAAGCAGTTGCAATGGGAGTGTGCTTGTGTGCGTGTGTTTACCACTTGAACTTAAACACGGGACGAATGAATTATCCAATCCAAATGCCAGCTGGATGCTCAATTTTTAAATGTCCCACCATCTGTCCTTTTGGCTCAACCCAGCTCCTTTGCCTTCCGTCAGCTCAACTTACAGTTGTTGACAACTAATTGGAAACAAATGCATTAGTTGTGATTTTCTTAATTTTTTTTTTATTAAATTCGTAATGCACTCTGAAATATTTACACAAAATATAAATTTTAGTCATATAAATTTACAAAAAACATTTTGAGTTAAGACCTTATATATTTTATTTCTGAATGTTTTTTGTTCAAATATCAGTTTTGGCTGAGCCAAACAATTGGAAACATCGAAAATGTAAACAACAGAAAAGACAAAATTTAAACATTATAACCAAAAAACAAAAGCTATCAATGCAAATATCTTTAATATTTTAATAAAACAGCGCTGCATCGACATTTGACTTTATAAGGTGCTGGCATTCGTGTCGACCACGCTTTCTTCGAATAATGTATCTAAATTCTATTTGCTCTGACTTTTTTAATGTCATTCGATAAATGCTCAATAGGATTTAGATCAAGACTGCACGATGGCCATCCAACCTTAACAGAACTTGTGTCTAAAGATTGTTTCGTTAGACACGACGGATGTTTTCGGCCATTATCTTGCTTACAGGTCCAAACAACTCTCAATACATCCATCAATATATCCATTTACTTCTCCCTTGTCAGAATTCTCTCGATGCTGAATATGATACCAATTCCATTCTATGAGAAGCATTCAAATATTTTTTTGCGCGGACCCTAGTTGAGACACGTTTTGGTAGATAGTAATTTTACAGCTTTTTGGCTTTGCATTTAATTTCTACCATAAAGATCAAGTCGGTTAATCATTATTTCATCAGTCCGGACTATAATTTTCCATTTGTTGAGCATTCAATCAACATGGGGCTTATCGTCGTCTTATTTACGTAATTGTCATCGTTTGTTTGACGCGTAAGTTTCGCTGATGGACCCCAGCCTCAAGCTAACGACCAGTGACAGTTCCTTCAGATATTGTTTTATCGTTTTGAAACCAAAGTTTAAGCTGGATGTCTACAGATCCCTACGGCGACCCAAATTACCCATTCATACAATCTTGCTATCGACGTTTGAGAAGTTATTTTTCGATAAAGGCTAAAAGCAAAAATACTTTCAAAAATATACAATACACCTGGATCTCACAGACAATAAGAGCTAGAGACACAGAATTTTTCACAAAGATGCCTTACGTGCGTACGCTGCGTAAGTTTTTTTTTTCCCAATTTCACTTCCCCCTATGGGCGTTTTTTCCCGATTTTAAAAGCTAGGGACATAAAATTTTAGTCATAGATGCCTTATGTGCATCCGTCCGTTCGTCCGTATGCACGCAATGATCTGAGCAAGTACAAGAGCTAGAATAACCGAACTTCATGTGCGTGTCTATGTGTGACCATGTATGCAGTACAGAGCTGAGCCAAAGCAGCAGCAACAACAAGAGCTGGGGCAGAGCTTGGTCAGAGATTACATATATGACTATAACTTCTTTTAAAATTTGTATGAGAGTGGGTACAGGGGATGTTTATTGCTATTGTTTATTTGCGATTTTAATTTAATTTTTGAAGAAACCATTACTGGCTAACAATTGTATTTTTCAATTTCAGAATTTATTCGAAAGAAGTCACCTTTTCAGCTTACTAAGCGGATCAATGATTTTAATATCGACGATTTCCTTGGTGGTTGGAACGATAATAAAGTACGAGCGTTAATTTTAGAGCCACGAAGTGTGACTAGATTGCGTTATTTGATTGCATCCTTTGCTTTCAGTGACCGCGTTGCATTTGGGTAAGCCATTTGATCTTTTTTGTTGTTGTGATAAATCGAGCATATATACCACCAATATATATATATATATATATACTAGCAGGTATTGCCCGTCTTAACCCGGCTCAATATAATGTTTCCAATTGTATTTTGTGTGTGCATAACCTACCCATATGTTTTCACCTTATAAGTTACCAGTAGGAAGGCATTTAAGGTATTTAAATGAACATTTTCTGTTCTTGACAAAAAATTGTTCAGTAGTCCGTTACATTTTTGTTCTTGCCAAACTATTTCGTTAAACGAACATGACCACTATAACTAATATTTTTTAAAGCTCGTTTTCCCCCCTTTGGAGATCGAATTTTCCAAAAGCCTTTCTTAGTGTGCTCCTACACTATGATGGATACTATGAAAGGATACTTGAGTCCAAATTTCATTTTTTACCGTTTGGGCTATGCGTTGATCACCAATTAGTCAGGACAAACTGTTTTATATATAGAGATAATGCAACGTTTTAAGATAGACTATGTGCAAAAAAGGGGAATAATTATAAGGGTATATCCTAATTTTAAATTCACATTTGAGTCTTTTCGTGCCATATTGAGTCAATACGGTCACGCACAAACTCGGAATATGAAACACGGCACTCGTGTCAATGCCGTGCAGCGATGAGCCACGATCAAAAAGCACTGACAATTCTCATCTCAATTTGCTAGAGTAAAACTTTCGATAGTTGAAGCCACCAATACCATCAAAATATCGAAGTTTGAATGCAATAAGCAGAATATTTAAATAATAAAATCTAATTATTTATTGAGATAAATAAGAACAATTCATATATGTACATACATACATCTGCCCGCAATGCGAAGCAGAATATGCGTAGCTCCGTTATTCGGTTTCTGCTTTACTATCGCTTACGCAGTCGTTGCCTAGCGACGGTAACTGTAAACTTTTGGCGTTTTGCCTTTGCAATTAACATTAAATGGTCAAATCGAAAGAAGAAGAGCGAGCCAATGGCTTGCAGTTGTTGTTGTTTTTAGAGCATTATTTTTTTTACAATCAAACAATGTATACATTAATACGAATGTACATACATGCTATATTCATACACAGGCATACATACATACATACATACATATGTATGTTTCTCTTTACTTTTTCAACCGTACGTAGAGAACCGCACACATAGACACGAACTGTTGTTTGTTGTGTGTGTGGTGTGTGTATGTGATGTCCCCAACTATTTGATATTTGTTGTTGCTGCATAAAGTTATTAATGAAAACCCTAATGCCAAATGCACTAAACAAAGAAAAAATGACTTTTAAAAATGTTATATAATTTTCAATTAATTAAAATTCTTGCTCTGTCAGTGCAAGACGGATGTACATACATACATATGTAGATACGTATGTAACATACATAGATCTGCACATATGTATGGACATTCACACATTAGTGTCTCACATTTTGCTTTGGCTATTTCAATCGTTTGCACGCAACTACACGAACAGCTGCTTGCATGTGTGTGTGTGTGTTTTTTTTTTTTTTTTTAATTCCATTTACAACATACATTTACATATAATACATTGTAGAGACTTAAGTAAAAAAGTGGGTGACCGCTCGATCATGCAGAATAAGAACGATTTTGGGCATGGTCATCAATCTGAGCGTACGGCTCGTGCACGCGCACAGTAGCATAGTCGCGCGTCAGCGACTACAGGGCACTCCCCCTCCACTTGCACTTGACGAAAGTACAATACCAGCAAATATGGGTCACAGGGCTAGCTTTCATTTTAAGAGCTTTTCTGTACGTAGAGTTAGTCAGATTTAAGAAATAAACCGCGTCGGTCATCGCCACGCCGAACTTAAATTAAAAGTCTACTCATTTGTGCGACACCGTTCATCTTATTAATTCGCTAAGCAGCGAATCTGTGTAAATTCTACATAAATAGTGCTACACAGCCCATCCTATCTATTCGCTTAACAGCGAACTTGCTTAATTGGCGCCCAACAAAACGGAAACCACGATCCGCAATTAATTAAACCATATTAAAACCAACAAAAATTGCCAAGCCGGCAAACAAAAACTAGAAATGAAGATCCAACGAAGGAAGACTACAGTGACAGATGGTCACTTTTTTATAAGAAGAAACACTGCACGACAATTAGTAAAAGACATGTAAGTAGAGTGCCTATTTAACATATTTTGAACATAAAAAACATAAAATAAATTTTATGCGGGTGTTTATAAGATAGGCCTTTGCAAACCAACAAATTTAAACCTTAGCAAATACCCTTATGAGTGATAGTGAACTAGAGGAGCTCGTATCCGGATTGGATAAGACCCCAGCAGAACTAAAAAAAAGGTGAGAATTGGTGGTCCGAGCAAAACATAACTACGAAAATGTCTTTCACCGAGTCCGATCTAAAAATGCTAGTCGAGATGGCAGTAAACACTGCACTCGCAAATCAGGCTCAAATTTTTGAGAATAAATTGAAAGAAATTGAAACTAAATTTACTAGCGTAACCGTAACCGTACCCGAGGTAGAGATATTTAGGGACGCCGATATAATACCAGGCATCCAATGTAGTAAGACATTTTATATTGTTAAATCTGTACCCGACTTTGATGGTAAACATGAGAAATACGTTTCATGGCGCAAAGCCGCCCATACGGCTTATAAAATTTTCGAAAACTACACAGGTAGTTCGAAACATTACCAGGCGCTAGGTATAATCAGAAATAAGATAAAGGGCCCTGCCGATATGGTGCTGTCTTCCTACGATAAATTAAGCTTTAAAGCAATCATAAACATACTTGACTTTACGTATGCAGATAAACGCCCTATTTACTTAATTGAGCAGGAGTTGTCGACTCTGCGTCAGGGAAACTTGACAATAACACAATACTATGAGGAGATCGAACGGAAGTTTACGCTCCTCATAAATAAGACAATAATGTCGTGCGATGGGACCTTGGCTGCCTCCCTTAACGAAAAATATAGAACAGATGCCTTTGCAAATTTGCCAATTTGCAAATAACTATGCAAAAAGCCCCGAGGAGAAAGCTCACAGAAGCGAACGACAGCTAAAAAGTCTAGTTATGGATAATAACAGCCCGCCACAGGGTAAAAGTCCATATTTTAATAAGCAAAAAGCACAAAGTAATAGCTATTTCTCAAAACAGGAGCCACCCCAACCGATGGAAATTGACAGTTCCTCCCGGTTTAGACAATCAATTCAACAAAGGAACTAAAACATTCCCCCTTACTTATCATACCAAAATCAGGCCACAAAAAGACCAAATAGTGGGACTGCTAGGTATACAGGTCCGAAGCTACAAAGGGTAAATCACCTTTCGAATTAAGAAGGTGAACCCGTTCAGGAAGAACAGGGGTACCAATCATATATAGCAGAATCGGAAGAGGCCAACATTGACGATGAAAGTATTGAATATGAACGGGTTAATTTTTTAGACATAGCTCCCTGCTACCGTTCGTAGAGCGAACGATAGCAGGTAAAACCATTAAATTACTTATTGACACGGGTGCCTCAAAGAACTATATAAAACCACTTACAGAACTAAAAAACGTAATTGCAGTAGATAAACCTTTCTTCATTAAGTCACTTCATGGCTTTAACTCTGTTCAGGAAAAGTGTTTCATGCACCTTTTCAACACCACAGCTACATTCTTTTTACTCCCCAATCTGACAACATTTGATGGAATAATAGGACTTGACCTATTAAATAGAGTAAATGCCACGTTGGATTTTAAAAATAAAATTTTGAAAACCGAATCCGGATTTGAAATAATTCAATTTCTGAAAGGCACAGACGTCTATTTTACAGAAATAGAGGGCATAGAAGTTCCTCAGTACATTCAAGAGGAATTCAAAGAAATGGTATTAAAAAGAACGGGTGTCTTTGCCGATCCTAACGAATCCCTCCCGTATAATATTAACATCGTCGGTACTATCCGAACAGTAAATGATGACCCTGTCTATTCTAAGCTATATCCTTACCCAATGGGGGTGTCCGATTTTGTAAATAGCGAAATCAACAGCTTGTTGAAAGACAAAATAATTAGGCCATCTAGATCACCCTATAATAATCCGGTGTGGGTAGTTGATAAAAAGGGGACAGACGAACAGGGAAACAGGAAAAAGCGTCTTGTTATAGATTTTAGAAAACTTAATTCAAAGACTACAGATGATAGATACCCTATACCCAATATTGTAGCAATCCTCTCAAATCTAGGGAAAGCCAGGTATTTTACAACACTTGACCTAAAATCGGGATTTCACCAAATACTAATTGCGGAAAAGGATAGGGAAAAAACTGCCTTCTCTGTAGGGAACAAGAAGTATGAATTCTGCAGACTTCCTTTTGGCTTGAAAAACGCCCCCAGTATTTTTCAGAGAGCCATTGATGATGTCCTTCGGGAACAAATTGGGAAGTCATGCTATGTTTATGTGGATGATGTTACCATTTTTTCGAAAAGCATGGAAGACCACGTAAAACATATTGCATGGGTGTTGGATAAACTCTATTATGCAAATATGAGGGTTTCGCGAGAAAAGTCATACTTTTTTAAAGAAAAAGTAGAGTATCTTGGATTCGTGGTCTCTAGAGGCGGTATCACAACGAACCCCAGTAAAGTAGAGGCAATCAGCAGATTTGAGAAGCCAACTACATTGTTCCATGTTAGATCATTTTTGTGTCTAGCAAGCTATTATAGATGCTTTATAAAAGACTGCATCTATTGCTAAGCCATTGACAGAAATACTGAAGAGTGACAACGGCAAAGTCAGCGCAGAACAATCAAAAAAAATTCCTGTAAGCCTTAACGAGAAACAATGTCTAACTTTTGAGAAATTGAAAAATATTCTCGTGTCTGAGGACGTTATGCTACTTTACCCCGACTACCAGAAGCCATTTGACTTAACGACGGATGCTTCATCCGCTGGCCTGGGGGCAGTTCTGTCTCAAGATGGGAAACCAATTACTATGATTTC